TCCTTGTGTGATGGGCCAGCCATTCCTTCCAGTCTTTAAAAAGCTCCTGTGGAATGGCAGAGATGAGTCACAGCTGCCAGGAGACCACCAGTCATGTTCAGCGGGACACATGGAGTCACTCACACCCGCATACACGATTAACTCCTGCATCTCTCCCTCTTTTCTCAGGCCAAGTCACACTGATGTGAATCAGTGTAAAAAACGCTTTTTATCCTGTCTGTTTAAGACTTGTCTTCGACATGAATTTGTCCATGTCCCTCCATCTTTTGCTTCTTCTTCTCATGCACAAAAAATTGACACCTCACACTATAATGGTTTTACATCCATTACATTAATCCAATTGATAAAGAAAGGCCCATCTTAAATGTAATTTTCCCACAGGATCAGCTGAGCTTAACAGCGGAAAGCAGTGGAAAGCATCTCCCTGAGGTCAGAGGTCAGAAGCCCAAACACACATCTATAGATACTTATCCATGACACACACATCGCCACACAGAAGCTGGATTCATCTTCACACTTGAGGTGGAACCCTGCCCTCGCACACAGCCACACACCTGTGATCGAGGCAGATACAAACAGTGACCTCACACTTCTGCACTCTCACACATTTAGACACACACACACACACATGCATGCACACACACACACACACACACACACACACACACACACACACGCAGAGAAAGCAGGGATGTGGGCCAGCAGAGTCCATGAACTGTGGCTCTGAGCCCCGCTTTCCACTGCGCGCTCTACTGGCTCTACCAGGCTGCAAACACTCAGTCCTGAGGCTACAGCAAAGCACAGTGGGATTCAGCCAGAGTCAGTTTGCTGCCCATCAGTATCACTGCCACCGTCTCCTCGCTGTAGTTCATCCAGGGTTTCACCATCGGCCATCTGCCAGTATTAAGTGTCTCTCTGGACTTCAGTCAACTCATCCAGTTTGCACACGGGATCCAACGATACCAAGCTCTCCGTCATCCATCAGCCCCTACTGGGTTGTCATTCACTTTTAGTTATTCGTGGCCGCTCAGCTCACTGGGCATTTTGAATTGTTGGTGGAGGCAGCCAAAGAGAAACTGACATTTAGAAAGTTCAAAGCAAACAATAACTTAATGAACTTTTCACCACTTCAGAAGATGAGAGGCGTGTAAGTGTATAAGTCCACTTTTAACAGCGTGTCCGGGACATGACTCCGAGACTTGAATACTTTTTGTTTTTAGTTATAAAAATAAAAACACCCAACAAATCCCCTACAGTTTTTCATCTTTTACACTCTGTGTTGGATTCCCTTTAACCTGCGTCTGGCCGAGCGCCAGCGAGCTGTACATTATCTAAACAGCTGCTGGCACATAACATAGCCCACTTCAGTTCAGCTCATTACTGCACATACTGCCTCACAGTACATTTCAATTCCACAATATCATCACAATGTGCTGAGATAATCAGATGAAGATGAGATTTTAATCACTGAATAAAATAGCGGGCAGGGGATGGCGCTCTGAGGGTCGGAGGAAACTAAACCAACACACCGACAAAAAACTTGATGACACTGAATATCAAAAACTGCTGCGTATCGAAAGGTATTTAGTGCTTGGTCATAGAGTCTACGCTTTTACTTTTTCTTTTATTTACATTTACTTTTCCCTTTTAAAGACAACTTACAAGTGAGTATCAGATATTTCCTGACTGAGCTGAGTCAAAACAATGAAATAATATCTCCGCACATCTGGATGTTGCAGTTTTGCAGTATATTTCCATTCCATCTACAAATGGACATAGTTTTTGTGGAACTCTGCTTGAATTATCCATCTGACATCTATGCACATATATGGAACTGTTGTGGTGTTTATTCCTAAAAAATGCAATTAAGTCATAAGAACAAAATGCATATTAAATTCATATGAAACGAGCAGGATTTTGGGACATTTGGGACATGTGAGGAAAGCTGAACCCTCCGCTGCACAAACACTGAGGACGGACCTTTCGGTGAAGCAGAAGATGTCATGTGTACAGTAGTTAAACTTAGTTAAACAGTAACTGAACTTTTTGTGAACACAAATATGTCAGTCACATGTTATTACTCAAAGCAGAGTATATTTATGTCTACAACGTGTCTGGACGAGGATTGTTAAGACATTTATCGAACAAAAATGTCCATTTGGTTTACAACAGTTTTTGACCGTGTCTGGGCAAAACAAGCAATTTAAAGACGTCACCTTGAGCTCATGCAAAGGGCATTTTTCACTATATTTAACTAAATGATTGAAAAATAAATAATGAACTGATTAATCAACAATTAAAATCTTCTTCACAGTCCTGCTTCAGACATCTGGCGAACAATGGAAACATCAAATGCTACTAAATATTGATTCAACTTTTAACCTTTTACTGACTTCCATACAGTTACATTTACATTTTTCAATAGTTGTCATTTTTTGTTTTTTTTTGTTTGTTTTTTTTTAAATACGGTCATTCAAACTGTGCAGGGAACTAAAACATTCAGCGATCCCCACAGGGTTGAGAGTCAGAGCAGTGCAGATTTGTGTCAGCGAGGCTGACGGCTTGTCATACATGAAATGTACACATTCTCTGAAGTGGAAAACGCCTGTGGGGACGAAGCAGAGAGGGCCACGGAAAGAGAGAGGGATGTGAAGAGATAGCATGATGAAAGCTCATCGTGAGGGCGAACACCCACCCACCCACACACACACACACACACACACATGCAAATACACACTCACACCTGCAGGCCTATAAACATGAGGTTAACAGAGTTGCGAAAGGGAGAGAGAGTGCTCCCCGCCAACAGCGTCAAAATTCCTTTAAGTTGAACACTGTATCGGAGAAGCCAGAGGTCACATAGCTCTCGCTCAACTGAACTAGAAATTCGTACTTAAATCTAAGTTTTGCTTGAGCTACATTTCACATCAGGGCATTTGAAAGTTTTGCCAAAACATGACTAGAATGTCAGAAACCCAAGTCTGAAAATATGTGACAGGATTTCTGTCCAGATGCCAAATTTTACTGAGTGGACCAACTCCATCACAGTCTGATTATATTGACTTGCATCAACTGTGTGATATTGGAACACTATAATTACTCTCAACTAATGAGTGTGTGGCATGTCAGTGCTACCGCTTCACAAATAACCACTCCCAACATGTGTCTCCTTCATAACGGTGGTTCTCTCTTTTGATTTAAATAAGGAAATGAAGACAATTAAAGTTCCTGTTCTTGTTTTACTGCTAACATCAGGGCTGCAGCTACAAACTGATTTCATTATTGATAAACCTGCAATTACTTGGTCTATAAACTATCATAGAAGAAAACAAAAATGATTCACATTTAAAGAAGCACTACATCAGACGAGTCTCAGAAGTTTAGAAGCATTTGCACTGAAGAAAAGAATCCTCTTCCTGATCTGTGATGTAAAGCAGTTTTTGTCTAGCATAATTAAATTCTGTTCAAGTCAGTTTTATCCATATAGTATCACAATAAAAGGCACTTTACAGATTGAGGTCAAGACCTTACAATTTACTCCTGTCCAATGATTTCTCAGTGCTACACATGCTTCAGCACCTTTGTCTATTGAGCAGAGTGTACTGAAATATTTGACCACAGCACAGAATGTGACCCTGTGACCTCGTGGCTGTCAGTCAGGGTCTGATCCCCTCGTCAGCGTCACTCCTAAACTGAGGGAACAAAATGCCCCAAAGGTGTCGGATGAGCCAGAACGTAAGGAAGCGCAATTTGTCAGGTGTTTGACCCTGACGGTGCGCAAGGTTCAAGGGCTGAAGTCAGAGCAGTGAAGGTTAACTTCTGACAAACTTGACACACAACGCAAAGACAAAGTCATTCACTGACAATTCAGTTCCAGTGAAGAGTTTATGTCTCCACCTATGAAATTTCCAGGAGTGAGAGTCAGAGCTCAGCATCTCTTCAGTAAAGCTAAAGTGATCTGTTTTCAGATCAGATTAACAGAGAAGATAACACAGGCTAGCGTAAACATATAATGGCCTCCACAGATCGACGAGATGGTAAACAATGTTATTAATGAAAGCCCAGGAACAGATAAGTGCTGCTTTGGTACACAAGAAATTATCTTATCTGATTGGTCAGGAAGCACTTCCTCTGACTCGGACAACAGAAACCCTAGTTGTAATCTGGAGAATGTGGCACCGCGGTGCTTCATTCATGGTCTGTTGCAGCTCCTGTGATTTGGATATTGCACTTGGCCCTATTGTGATTTTGATAATATTTTGATTAATAGTTCAGCCCTACCTGTGGATATAACATATTACAGCTGTGTCTCGTGTATTGACCAGGACTGCACAAATAATTGAAATGTAATCGGAATCGCAATATGGCCAAGTGCAATATCCAAATCGCAGGAGCTGCAATTTCTTTGATAAAGGTAAGGCTACGGGTAAGGCTACAGAGACGCCCCGATCTACAAATCATATTCTCCAGACGTGAAGGAACGTGTTTGTTTGACCCAACAAAAATTACATCATCATTTTTATATTTTTTCAGTGAAAATGAAATGCAACAACTACCATTCCAACTGAAATCCTGCAATAATCACAACCTGATTTTTTATTTATTTATTTTTTTTAAATTGCATATTGTGCAGCCCTTGTATTGACACACTATAAAATTTGCACCTGGTGCTTTTGTTTGGTAGCTCTCGCAAAACACTACGCTCTAACTCCCGATGACAGTCAGAGACTATTCAGACATGCAAGCTTTCACTAAATGAGGGGAAACTGAGAAGTTGCTATAAACTACGACCTCCAAATGTGAAATATCTCAAACGTTGTGAAGATGACCCCCGCCCCCGCATCAGCTCTTAAACACAATCAAACAGAACATATTTGAAACACACATGTTGCCAATTCTGTCAGTATTCACAAGGAGCTCTGCTCAAGCTCTGAAACAACAGAGGGTGGAGGGAAACACCCACCAAAGCTCCTGTGTTTTCACCATTAAGCATCACTCACCCTGTCTTTGTCGTCGGCCACATCGCAGAGCACATCATCCAGGTCCAGGATGCCGCCATCTCCGTGTTCCAGCCGGTGGACCTGCAGCCAGTAACTAGCATCCTGGAAGAAAAACAGCAAGAGAAGAAAGAGATGTTTAAAACCACCCCCAGCCACAACTCCAATGTGAACTGAGTTACAATAACATGTTTATGGGGGCAAAACTTAAATAATTCACATTTTAAAGCCACTTTAAAACCAGTAAATATGACTGCAAATATGAATAAAACAATAGAGCAGCATATAAACAAGAGATCAAAGAAGAACTACAACTGCAGTAAGAGTGAGCAAAGGAACACAGAACTAACTGACAATGAAGACTGAATGTAAGACAATGCACAATATGAATTATAGCAAAGTTTTACATATTACTTATGAAGTATGAAAATGTGTCGTAATATGCAAAGTTTGTAAGAAATAAGACAAGATAAACAGCAAGTACGAGAACAGATTAAAGGATTTTAGATGACTGTTGACGAGCAGCACTGGCAAGGAAAGGAGCTTTTAATAAAAGCCTAAATCTCATACAAGTGTGTCTGTAAAAACAGGCACTTAAGCATGACATTCATTTTGTCATGGCGGGACATTCACAAGCATCTGGGCTCATGTTTTGACATGAGAAACACACACAGAGGTCACATTAGATTAGAAGAAGTGGAGATAAAGAAGGGGGGGGGAGTCAAAGCAAAATAGAGCAAGAAAAACCAGCCTGGGAGTGAGCGATGTATCTGTATTCGTACAAGAACGCAGCTCAAAGGTCTTTACATGAGCCACTATGACATTATGAGAAAATGAGATTGGCAAAAAAAAAAAGAAAAAAAAAAAAAAAGGGGTAACATCCCTTTCATTACAGTAAATACAATCATAAATGTGAATCACAGCCGTCACATAATTATGACAATTTGCCCTGATGTCTTGACATGTGAAAACACATGCACGAAAACATAAAAACATGTCTTTGGTGCAAGCAACAACAGAGCAAAGAGCAGAGTGAGACCAGTGCACACTAGTGCAAAATGTATGTGCGTGTGTATGTGTGTGGGTGGGCATCATTTGCCAAAGTTATGAGTCAAGACCTGACTGTTTGGGCTCAACCCGCACACAGCAGCCCTGAGGGTTACAGCCTCATTAGCCACTTGTACAGTTCCAGCCCACTGACAGCGCATGCAGCTCACTGCAAAGGGCACCAGACACATTATGGAGAGATAATAACACAGTGTGTTGTGTTTAACTCACAAAGTAACGCTAGATAGACAGAGAGGGAGACGTTTGAAAAAGCGTAATGATCAAAGGATAAAGAGAGAGGTGCAGAGAAAGTTTTCATGAACTAAAAATATGATGAAGTAGAGAATATCAAAGCAGACATTTATTGTAAATGTAGTAAATGAAAGGTGATCCCCAAGAATGCGTTCACCATGAACTTTATTTTTCTGATTTTTCCAGTAAGTACCGCCCACACTGCTCGACTGACAGGAAGAGTACAAAAAAAGTCCTTACACACAACAACAACATTTGTATTTTGAATAAGAGCGAAAGAGAAATACTGAAGACTGAAACCACAGGTGGAGAAAAGGAGCCAATCAGAGTGAGAGGATGAAAAGGCCGAGGCGTGCATTAGTATTTCCTCTGTGTTGTTTCCTGTCAGCTACATACACACACTGTCAGACTGCAGTGACAGATGTCAGGGTTTGTGAAAGCCTGTGTCACCCTCTGACACAGAGTCCCTGTGGATTCCAGCTGATGGAGAATCTGAATTTACACACAAACATAGAAACACACACAAACACATCCCAGTCCCACTGTAAATGACCTACTTTTCACTGGGTTTTCATTCTAGTTTTAGGGACACAATCAGGACTCTTATTAGGAACAGGCCTTGTAGATGTCTTCCTCGTTTGTATTGTGGTATCATAATACACCATCAACTAGAGACTCTTGTGTATGATAGAAGTGACACGTCTGTAACCAAACATGGACTAGACATCTGTGTCGACAGACCAGTCGATCTCTCCAGAGCAGAGCTTCTGGAAATCACAGGTACACGCTGTAAAACTCTTATCTGACACAGAAATGCAGGAAGTGGCCGATGTTCACCAGATCTACATCTGTCAACAAACTAATGCAAACAAACTACTGTAGGTTTCTGTTTATGCAAGAGCCGGTTATCAAGTTGCTGCTGTCTGTCCATCTTTGTAGTTTCCAGAGTAGCTATTTCGGGGAAAAAAAAAAAAAAAAAAAAAGGAGGCCAGGAGGTAAAACTTGTTCGGAGTGGAGGGAAAGGAGGCCACAAATCACTGCCTTTACTCTATTTCACCCAAAACACATTTCAGTTAGTTGTTCTGGATGAATTGAAACATCTCCCCAAAACCAAAACACCTAAACAAGTTATGTCCACTGTCATGTCCATGTGAGAATTCCCCAATTTCCCGATAAAAAAATTCTGATTTTATGTACGTAATGCATCTTCTAAAGAGTAAAAACTTGCCCAAACATCCAGCGGACAAAATGAAAAAAAAAATATGTCATATTTAATATAATTAGAACACATGAGATACAGCATGTCTCACGTGTGCACTGTCAAATCTCACTGGAGCCTCGCACACAAACAACAATGAGATAGATGCGTGTGATGAGTGTGAATTCCAGCCTGTAGACTGCAGGCTTTTCTTTAAGGCTGCGCTAAGTTTAGATTTGAATAAGTGGTGTTACGATAGTGTTGATATGCTTGTGTCTGTGAGGGCTTATATTGACTTCCTATAGTGTGTATCTGCTGGGACTCGGAAGACGCAGGCCACACCAAAGAGTGTGTAAAGGGTGTGTTGTGTGTGTGTTATTGTGTCATTCTGCGGGGCCAAGTTCATGTGGTAAAAATAGCTCACAGCAAATGCCATGGTGCCAGTCACATAGTAAACAAGGTTACTGCATACCAGAGATGGAAAACACACACACACACGTATGTACTTCTATCATGAGAACACTCACTGACATAACGCATTACATAGCCCTTTATGCTAACCTTAACCCTCACACAATCCTAACTTATACCCAATTCTAACCTGAACCCTAAACCCAAATCACATAGCATACCACAGATGGAAAACACACACACAGACACACACACACGTACTATCATTGTGCAGACACTCATTGACATAATGTAGTCCCTAACCTGAACTCTAAAACCAGGTTTTAACCTTCAATCAGCCCTTTGAAGGTGTAAGAAGCAGCCACACTTTCCCAAAATGTCCACACTCCATAAAGGTCCAAAACAAACTGGTCCACACAAAGATAGATGTATACAACACACAGCACTCCGATGAGGACAACTCCACTTTAACAGGATACACGCACACACACTCTTGTTCAGGCTTTACTCTCGGCCCGTTCCCCCTGGGCCTAACAGAAATTTCCATGACGCTGAATCTGACAGAACCCTCATCTGAAGTATTGCATAAAAACTAAGACAGATCTGGAGTCGGATCAAGAAAAGGCATCGCCTGCTGCAGCACAACAGACCTGGAATCAGGCCAAGGCCGACACGCTGGTTGCAGGGGGAAAGCCCAGCACTAAATTACAGACAGCCAAGCAGTCCTGAGGTGCTCACTGTTGTGTCCACGATTAGAAATATTACATTATCTTGCAAAGTAAAGCATTACTTGGCTGGGTATATGATATTTTTATATTTTACTGTCTTTTACAAACAGAAATTGAGAAAAAGCCCAGGTGACACTGGATCATTCTGAGGCTGATACTGAGATCTGAGAATAAAAACTATTCCACTGAAATACTTTTTATGTGACAGAAGTTTCTCCAAGGATCCCTCAAGTGTGCTGCGTAAAGAGTGTATGTACTGAGGCAGAATATCTTCCAGAGAAACAATTAACTTTATTTATTTATTAACAATGGCGACACTAAGCCTAAGCCTCCAAAATCCAGTATCAGTCAAGAACCAGAAAATATCAGGCATTGAATATATTGAACAGATTCTCTTTTGAGCAAAATTTAATGTAATGTTAATAATTTAAAGTTATGGTCTGGTCTGGTTCCAGCTATTAAAAAGAAATGCAATGAGCAACCAACGGTGTGTTGTAGCGTTAAAATAAACATGACAAAGAGGAAGCTGGACAGGCCAAAGTGAGAATTGGTCAAGGGACAAGTGAAGGTTTTACTAACTCTCAGTATAAATCTGTTACTTCTTTAATGATGGCAGAGACCCACTGGCCACTGTGTGACACCGGAACATGGCCAATGCCATTCAATTTGTATGGGTGTGGTGAGATAGCAAACTGGATGGGTCAAAAGTTGAACATGTTTAACTCAGGGCAGACTTTTTCCCACATTCAAAAGTTGTTTTTTTTTTTTTTACTGTTTTTAACTGTATGCAAATGAGAATAACTTTCACCTGTAAGCTCTGTGGTGATAAAAGGAGAGTGATGTAATGTTGGACCAAGAAGTTTTGTTTTTATCTGTGGAGGAAAAGATCATCGTTGCCGTTTCTGAGATTCCCCTCTTTGCCTCCAAGACAATGATATAAACAAAAAGTGCTGCTTGGTGCACCAGTCTTGCACATTGTCTGAGGGTTGAAGGTCGCACCAAGCAGGTCAAGCTCAGGTTGTGTAAACACTGATCCTCGACTCAGATGATCTAACACCACAGAACACACAGCAGCAGTCCAGAACTCAACCAGCCTTTTCAAATCAAAGCAGGAAGCGGTCGCCTAGCACGATAAACACACACTGGATTTATTGTGGTAACGCTGATATTCTGATCGTTGCTGGAGACCTGCACAGCCTCAGACTACACACTGACACATGCCATCATAGGTGCGGCAGGAGGCTGTACGCAACACCACAATGTCCCTGGAAGATCTGGACTCGGACTTCCTGTCAGACGAGGCTGACTATGAAGCTGAGAAGAACTTCAGTGATGGTGAAAACGATGATGAGGCGAGCTACGAGGAGCTTGTCTACCTGCACAACAATCTGATGTGCTTCGCTCACATCTACAGCAACAACATCATGCTAGACATGGAGGTAGGGCAGCTACTGATTCATCTATCAACA